TATATATATATATATATATTCACGTTTCTGATATGTAAAAGATCACATTTTATTTTCGTGTGGGATTGTAATATGTACGTAGAGGAGAAAGAAGGTAAATGGACAGCAGAAGAAGGAAGAACTAGAAAGAGAGGTATGGGAATCCATTAAATGGCTTTTTCAATTTCTCTCTCTCTCTCTCTAAATATGCATCTGTTTTTATGTACTTTTGCTACATAACATGCAGCTTTATTTTTTAAATTTATTATAAGATTTTTATTATTATTATTATAATAGAAACATCAAGGAATGGAGCTATAAATGTATATGTACCATATATATACACATCATTATAGGTGATTGATCGACCTTACATACATGCTTTGATTAGGCCAACTTTCTTAATCTAATCAATCTTTCTATATTACCAAATGACCATATATGATTATATATAGATTGTCTTGAAATTTCGATTTCAGAATAATTTAAGAAATAGTACGATGATTAAGGTGATGATGCTGCGAGAGATGCTGGATCAAGAAGAAAAGGCACGTGAGATATTGGAGCGTGTCCAAAATGATCAACACCGTGGCTCTGCAATTAGCATCCCCAATTCTCTCCCTCCCAAGGTACATTTATTACTACGTGTGTACGTATAAATATACACACATATGTATATATGCGTGTGTACGTATAGATACATACGTATACTACGCAGTTCCACAGTTTCTTGATCCGACAAAGTTAGCAAAATTTATTTTCCTAGTTTGGGATTTGAGTAAACAAGCAGAAAAAGTAGGATGACGTACGATAGATAATCGTGTATTTGAAATACAATAATGGCAAAATAAAATAAAAATAAATTCATAGTGATGCGCAGGTAACGTTGCTTTTAAACTAAGGTTCATACCATTTTTATATGTATGCTTGCTTTTTGGATCAAGCAAAAGTTAATATAAACTCATGTCTATGTAAATCTTAGTATCCCCGAAACAATATATATACGGACAAAATCATTATATATATATGAACAAATTGTGAAATATGTGTGTACACATATATATACATATATATATATATATATATATACAATGTGACCATGCAAGTTTTACTTAAGAAATAGAAACGATACAAAATTGCTACATATATTTGTTGATATAGAAACATATATATGCATATGTATTCTTCGTGGCATATACATGTGTGTGTAGATGAAGGACCTATTAGCAGAACTAGCAATGGTAGAAGGCGAAATCTCAAGATTAGAGATTCAGATAAGCCATCTTCAGATCAATCTAAAACAAGAGCAGGAGGAAACAACAAGGCAAGCCGCCTGTGCAAGATCATGGCGAAACATGAACAACAACTACAACATAAACCCTAAATCTATACCTCCATCAATGCCATCATCGAATTACCCTAATTTTCCTCCTCCAAGTCCTATGGTGAACAAAGGTGCTAACAACACGAAGAACAACAGAACTACTACGGATCACAGTCATGGCGAGAAGACGGCGCCGTTCGAGACAAAGGCTTTGCATTTCATCAACAAAGCCATCAAGGGTCACGACTATGTGATCGGTACCTTCGACCCGAGCGAGAAAGTTGGAGGATTTGACAAGGAAAGTAACAGATCGATCCAACAGGAAAGTGTCAATCTCAAGAAAAGCAGGATGATGAAATCGCCTTCACCTCTTCGCGAGCCTAGGTACTCTTCCCCTAAGGTGAGATTTCTCCTTTAATATCTTTAGTTTTTAGGATTAAAACCCGAGTTTCGATATGCTTCTTTCGATCTTTCTTCGTTGAAAGATGCATGATTTCTTGCAGCCTAAGGATCGGATAGCTCTGGACACGTCTCTTGACATCCCGCCGAAATCTCTATCAAGCACAATCCTAACAGAAGACGGTCAAAACATTCAGAATTGGCATCCCAATAAGCTGGCGGAGAGCATCATGAAATGTCTGAACTTCATTTTCGTTCGTCTCCTTCGCACCACACGAGCCATGGAGCTTGAGAAATCGGGACCCATCTCAAGAGCCACACCTTTCTCTCTGAGCTCGAGAAGCTTCCGGGTAGACCAAACGACCACAAACTTGTCTAAATCCATGAATCTTGGGGTTCACAAGGAATCTAGACAGCAAGATCCTTATGGAATCTTTGATGCTGAAGCATCTTTGCCTAGAGACGTCGGTCCTTACAAGAATCTTGTGATCTTCACTTCAAGTTCTATGGATCCCAAGTGCATTTCGAGCTCGAGTTCCGTTTCTCTGATAAAGAAATTGAGGTAAGTTGCGAGACAAATCGATTTCGAAATCAATATCTTTCCGAGTTCAACTCGTTTAGATCTTGTTTTCATCAATCAATAACTTTTTTTTTTTTTCAAAATGCAGGGTGTTGATGAACAATCTCGAGACAGTGGATCTGAGGGTGTTGAATCACCAACAGAAGTTGGCATTTTGGATCAACATGTACAATGCTTGTGTCATGCATGTATATATACACTCATCCAATATAACTCTCAAGAAATTTATAAAAAAAATATATATTTTTTTTCATAAATTTATATTTATCTTCTTCATTTAATTAAGCTAGTGGATTCATCTTTCTGTGCCTAGGGTTTTCTACAACGCGGAGTTCCAAAGACTGCTGAGAAAATGTTCGGTCTCATTGAACAGGTATTATCGTTTTTGTTTTTTTTTTTTAATTATTTTTCTAATTTCCAATAATAAATGTTAAAGTTTATTCATAGGCTACGATTAACGTTGGAGGCAAGATCATTAGTGCCAATGCTATAGAGCGTTACATTCTAAGGAAACCAGTGTCTTCGAACATGACCCAGGTCATTATTATTCAGTACTCATTGATTCGTTATATATATATATATATATATATATGTGTGTTTATGTATGGATATTCAACCGTATATATACGCGTATCATTTAATTAGAAGTTTATTACTAATGTGTTGTACAGCCTTACGACAAGAACGAGGAACATAAGGAGATGATAATTCACAAACTATACGGCGTAGATCCAACGGATCCTAACATCACTTTCGCTCTCTCTTGTGGAACTCGATCCTCTCCCGCGGTTAGTCATCTACTTCTTCATGTGCTCATATATGCATGTATGCACGTACGTATGCATGTATGCATGCATGTACGTGTACGTACGTATGTATGCATGTATGTATGTGTGTACATATTCCTTATATTCTTGGTCTGACCATATGATAAACTAGGGGTGGCCATAATATCCGAAAAAACCGAACCGATCCGTTATTCGATTCGTATCCGAACCAAAAATTCGGATATCCGGAATTCACGGATCGGATACGGATATTGGTTTTAAAGTATTTGTCGGATACGGATCGGATACGGATATCAAAATAGAATTATCCGATATATCCGATCCGATCGGGATTTTTTTAATGTATTAATAATATATGGATAATTTAATAATTAACTTATATATGGGGGATAACTTTGTAAAAAATTAAAATATATTAGGGTTTATTTTGTTTCTTCGTTCTTTTCCTCTTCTCTTTGTCCGCCTCCCTCCTTCTCTCTCTGCCCACACCATTTTTATTCGCTCCAAACTCATCACCATTTCTACAGGTTCCAAGCTCACAACCACCACCCTCCTCTCCAAGCTCAACACCGTTTTTTATTGGGTCCAAGCTCATCACCATTTTTGTTGGTTTCAGACACTTTCTGGTTATTACCAACTTGGTATCTTGGTTTTCGTTGGCGATTATCTTTAGATTCATTCTTTTTTTCACTTGTACATGAAAAATTTAATTTCGTTTTCGAGTTTTTACTTAAATTTGAATATAGTTTGTATTTGATAGATTATATATATTATTTGTTTTTATTTTTCTGTAATTTTATTTATCATTTTTGTTATTTTAACATTACATACGGATATTTGCAAATATCCGTAGTTTTTGCGGATATTTGAAATTGCGAATATTCGAAACTACGGATCGGATACGAATAATAAAATTTGATATTTGTACGGATCGGATACGGATACGGATATCTAAAAAATCCCGGATATCCGATCCGTGCCCACCCCTATGATAAACCAGAATATAATTAGGTTTTTTTGGTTTACGAAACTCACACTATATATGTTAATTTACGATATTTTTGATTCGTTGTAATTTGATAAAGATTAATAAAACTTTATATAATATAACATTAAAAAAATGTTGGGAATATGTAAAATAATGAAGGTGAGGATATACACAGCAGAAGGGGTGGTAACGGAGTTGGAGAAATCAAAGCTGGAGTATCTCCAAGCATCGGTGGTGGTGACGGAGGCTAAGCGGATTGGGTTGCCGGAGCTTCTCCTCCGCCACGCCGGAGATTTCTCCGGCAGCCAATCGCTCGTGGAATGGGTTTGCAACCAGTTGCCGACGTCAGGTTCCTTGAGGAAATCGATGGTTGACTGCTTCAGAACCCATCATCATCATCATCATCATCATCATCATCATCTTCATGATAATAACGCCAAACCATCGTCATCATCATCATCTCATATTGTTGAGAAGATCCCATATGATTACGAATTTCAGTATCTCTTAGCTATTTAGTAGGAGAAATATTAATTTCCGCTCCTTGTGAAGATATAAATATATAATGTGTTTCCTTTTCCATTTTCTAGGGGAAAACGATTGTAGTTTTTTTTTTATGATTTTTGGTTGATGATTATGCACATGTATATGTAAAGTGATCATGACGATCTCGTGAATAAGGAAATGTATATTGTCTCTACTAGGGCTGGGCACAAATACCCGAAAATCGGGTATCCGTCGGATACTCGTCTCACGGATACCCGATTTTAGGGTACTCGTAATTTTCAAATCCGAATCCAAATCCTTATTTTTCAATACCCGTGAATCCGGATCCAAATCCGGATAATAGAATTTTTAAAACCGGATATCCGCGGGTACCCGCGTATTATGATTATAAATAATTATATCTTATATTTATATAACATTTTTATAAAATACAATTATTTTAGATGAAATAATTTCATATTTTTTTAATATTAATTCAAAAAAATTAAATTTATTATTATTTGTCTCTTATTATCTCTTTTGTCTTATATATTTTATCATAATTCATCAATTTTTATAAATATATCTTCATGTTTTAAAAATTTTATATATGAATATTGTTGTTTTTCTTAAATAAATCCGGATCCGGATATCCGCGAGTACCCGACTATTATTCCGGATACCCGTACCCCGGATACTCGTAAATACCAAATCCCGGATACAAATCTCATAGTTAAATACCCGAGCCTCCCGGATCCGAATCCAAATCTCTCGATTTTCCCGGGTATCCGACCCGTGCCCACCCCTAGTGTCACTGAAATTATTGGTGACTCTCCCCTATTTTGTCGTGATCCACACAATGAAAGCTCTCGTCTAATTCAATATCGACCGTCAGATGCTTTTACATAATCCAATCTCATCCGTCCATCTCTATTAGGCTAAATATTAAAATATTCAGCCTAACAGAAAAGGGGAAATTTCACTTCCACTTGAATATATTACTAACAAAAAATTCCTTTCTACAATTGTTGTTTATGATGTCGAAATAATTCACTAGTATTGTTAGAGATAAACCGTATTAATATTCAATTTGTAATCCGAATCTAATAAGATAAAACATATTTTCCGGTTTTTAAATCATTTCAAGAAACTCAAAAGGTAAAGTTATAATAATAAGATAAAAGTATAGGTTTCCGAAAAAAAAAACATTAATAAGAGATCTTGGATTTCATCAATTTTACAAGAAGAAAAATGCTGCGCCGAATGATATTCCCGTGCAAATGAATATTTTTTAAAAAAAAAGGATACATAATGATATATTAATTATATAATATAAAAGAAATCGTACGTCACCGAGACATAGTACGTATATAAAATACGAGTATATATAATATTTCAGGGAAACATCATATTTATAAACAGAAGATTACATTACAGTAATCCAAACATAAACAAGACAAAAAAAAGATTTCACATACTTAATCAAACATAAAAGGGTTTTCCATAATGCATGCATAGTAATTTTTTTAAAACTAATTTCACATACATATATATACTCTCTTTTCATTTTTTTCCCTCATTATTTAGCATTACTTTTTATTATTATCATCATCATTATTGTAATTTATCCACCACCATTCGAGCCACTACCACCATTGTTATCACCTCCGCCTCCATAGTTGTTAAAGTCTTGCCTTGGTATGTAATGGTGGTTGTCTACACTACTCCTCGGATACCCGAATTTCGCGGCGGAATCTTCATCGTTTTCGTTCAGCCCTCGGAAATTTTTCTCATCCCCTTGACGATGGATATTTTCCCGGGAGAATGTTTTCCTGGCAGCCAAACAGGAGCTGAGCATGATGATCACCATCATAACCACAGTCACCACCATGATATTCTTCTGTTTCACGTCCATCTCTGATTTACTTAGCTGCTGTACACCCACACACACACATAGTTTGAGAGTAAATCCTATATATATGCATGATCCCGAAACATCTTCGGATTTTTGTTTGTAGATACATATATATACACATACATACACATATACATATGTTGAATAAGGTATTGAAATAGAAAACTTACCTCCACTATACTAAGAGACTTGCGACGGGTTTCGTACCCTAAAGAGGAAGAAGAGAGATGGTCCTTGTGTATCTTTTATGTATGCATGAGAAGTTAGCTAGGGTTTATATATATATATATATATATATATATAAAATGTGTGTGTGTGGATTTTCTTTCCTTTTTTTTTTTTGCATTTTGACTATTTGAGATATATATTTAAATTGTATGATTTACGTGATGTGACGTTCCATTAGATGAGGCAAGAAGTAGTGGGAGGGGCCTCATATGGAGAATTTTGAAGTTTTTATAATTAAATATGTATGAAAAATGATGAAATTGGTGTCTATTATTCGCACTACAAATAGGGAAAATCCACATTAGCCGTGCATCAATTGGTTGATTCAAAAGTATTAATGAAACGGAAGAGATTTGTCTTGCCTTTTTTGTGCAACACACACACGCATATATATATATATATATGTATTTGTGTGTATATATATGTGTGTGTGTGTGTTTGTTTATTCTATAAGAGCCATTTGCCAACTTGTTTTCGTAAAAGGATTCTAAATGCTTGTATCATTGGAAAATGGAAAGAGTATTATTACAAAATCTTATTTATTTTCAATCCAATGGATTAATTTTATCGGCTACATTCAAAACATATAGTTTCGGGGATTACTAATTTCAATATATACTAAATTTTCCGTAATACAAGTCTTTTAAATCTAATAAATAGTCAAATAAAATATTGAGATATAATATTAAAAAATGGGAATCAATAGGGAAAAAATCGTTATATTTTGAAATATAAAAGGAATCTTATGGCATAGGTGGATTAATGTGATTGTTATCATTTCGTTTGGTCGATACCCTTTTTCTTAACTCTCGTAGTGCTTTTAACTATTTACTTTTTACAGTACTAACAATTAATATTCTCAATTAAAATAACAAAGTTTCTTAATTATCACAGAAACTAAAATAATTAATTTTGATCGTGATAAAAAACTCTGATCGAATGTAAAATATTATTCGAATAATAACGATGTAAATGATAATAAACCATAAGAAAAAATCATTATAATTCGTCAAAACATATATATATATATATATATATATATACATATAGTGATGAATGATCCAACATAAGATTATGCTCTGTGATTGGATTTTGATGACGCAAATGTAAAAGATAAAAATATGTATTTTTCATCGAGAACTTTCTTCCACCACTGATGGATTGAATTGAACCTTTTAGTAATTCGTAAGTGTAACGAAATAAATAATCAAATTAAGTGGAGAATTATATATTTATCTTTTCAATTATTAAATATTAATATGTGTGTGTGTATGGACTTTGCTATCATGAATGATAATAATGCTCTTGCCACCTTTGAAAAATAATTACAATAAAAAACTAAAAAAAAATCTGAATCGATCACATTAATTAGTTACTGTCGATGTTTGGACCGGAGGTCATATGTAAACAGTATAACTAAAATCATTAATTAATGTAATTTACGTGCGTATGGAGGTGTGGTTTTGATCCAAAACTCTCACGATTTCACGCTTTTATAAAATTTATCAAAATTAAGTTGGTCGTATTTGTTAGCATGCTCATGTAAAATGATTCATACATTATACATGTGTGTGTGTATATATATATATATCAACATATGTGTTTTTATGGTACAATTGGGCTCTACGTTGCAATATAATTGAAGATCCAAAGCCCATTTAGCTATTAAAATTGGGCATTCGCGAAATCCAGATTTTTGCTAAATGGGCTCATATTGGCCCATTAAACGCTGTAGCCCTAATTGTTTCAAATATTGACAAAATAACATAAATTAACTCAAATTGTTGTATGATTCTTTAACTAATTTTAATATTTGAAAACAAATACAATTAAGTTCGTGTTAATTTTTAATCAATTAAAATTTAAATTTGGATTATTTTTTTTTTTATTTTCTGCTTAAACAATAACAAAAACCAACTCTAGTATCTATATATTGATAAATATTTGATGAAAGATTATAAGATATAGTGAGGCGAAAATTTTAAATTATTTAATATAAATACTTAAATTATATAAACAAAATCAAATCTTATACAAAAGTAGAGTTTGTTTTTGGGAGTTTTCCCTTTTTATATTTTATATATTTTTCATTTTTATTTATGTTTTTCAAATCCTCCACTCAAACACAAAGGATAAAACACAAGGCCAATAAATACAACATTGATCAAGACAAAATAAAATACGTATACGTATTTACAGCAAATTAAAAAAAATATATTAGAGTCTTTTGAGGCCAGGTCAGGTGGTAAGGGAGCAGGGTGCATCATCCTGAGGTGGAGGGTTCGAATCCTCTCATCGCTCTTCCTTGCCTTTGACCTGCAGGCGCCTAAGCCCAACTAGCCCGAGCGTTAGGCGCGTCTGGTGGCCAGATCCGGCGAACTGAGATTCATGGGGACTGTTAGACGCAGGTGGTGGCCAATTCGTCTCTGTTTGTAAAGGTAGGTAGTTAAAGGGGTTCCCATAGTTACAATATATATATATATATATATATATATATATATTAGAAGGCTAGGAATAAAATGAGATGGAGAAGGTCGTTTTTTCTTGCCCAATCTAAATGGATTTTAGCTTGCTTGCGTTGACCAACAATCTATCTTTGAATTCAAACTCTGGTTACATAAATTTTCTGATTAAATTTTAAAATATACGCCGCCCTTCCATTATTCTTTTATGCTCGTGCATGAGTTATGGTTTATTTTGAAATGTATATGATAAGAATTTCTGAATAGCTTTTTATTATTATTATATGGCGTGTGTGTGTATACTACAAATATATGATAATACTATGCATATTACATAACGTGACAAAAATTGTGAAATAATTCATTGGCTTTATTGATAATATAAAGGTTGTATATATAGAATTCGAGCACAAATACTAAACCTAGTCCAATAATCAAAATAAGTTGCTAATAAAAACTTGTGTATATCTATCATAATATATATATATATATATATATATATATATACACGGAGACTAAACCTAATCCAATAAATACTTGTGTATATATATGATATATCCTAATATATATATACAGAGATTGGGTGCATGGATGGCCGTACACGTATTCCAACTATATAGTATTATGAAGCGAATTGTTAGACGGAGAATATTTCGAAGATGAAAAAAATCAGGCAGCAGCCACACCATGACTCTTCACCGCCAAAAGATTGGAAACTTTCAATTTTTGACATTTATCTAACCAATCTATGAAAAATTCAATAAAATCTTATGTTACGAAAAATTCATTCGATTTGTAAATCAATATCTGTATTTTTTTTAAAAACAGATTGAATATAAATAAAATCATATCTAAAACATAATTGGATAGGTTTTAAAATCAAATTAATCAAATATACAAAAATAAAAAATAAATTTAATATTTTAATCAAAACAGGATACAAATGAAATAGAAATCAAAATAAAACTTGATAAAACTATGAAATACTTATATTTTTTCAAAAAAAACTTTAATAAAATAACAAAATCTAACCAAAACCAAGATATGGGTAATGTAACTAAGTGTGGACATTTACTAGTTGTAGTTGTACTTGTAAACTTCTTTTTGTTCTAATTCATTTTATTCACTTGTTAAAAAATATTTCTTACAAATACACAATATATATATATATATACATGGAATTAAGTTGTAAAATTTAATAGAGGAGAGGTAGGTCACAAGAAATAGTGGATCCAAATAAATGAGACGATTTTTTTTTTTTGCACTTTATGCCGTCTGACTTTTTTTGGTTGGCTTCACTGTTTTATTTTATTTTAGTTTTTTATAAAATTTCTCTGTCATACCATTGGCTGTCTACAGCAAAGCATTGGGTTCAAATAAATAAATAATTTATTCATATGTATATACAATAGCATCTTATGCCCTTTTTTTTTATATGTCAAAGTCAAAATATAACATGTATAAATTGTACATATGTATATACAGAACCATATTAGAAGGTGTGTGCCTTTTGCATACGGTTTTAAACAATAATTATAATAAATTTCAATTTACTTTTCAAAATTGATTATAACTAATTTTAAAGTACTCATTTCTTGTATATTACTTCCAACCTAGAATTTGTTATTTTATTATGGATTTTTCATCTAAAACTTTCAGTAAAAATTAAAAATAAATTAAAAATCCATCACAATATGTAAAAATTCGTTTTTTAAAAATAATCTCGTGTAACCCAAATAGTAATCAAACTTTTTTAATAGATAAATATTATTATTTCTTAATATATTGAATATTTTATATATATATATATTTTTAATATATAGAAAATTATCAAGTGTTAACGGTAAATTTTTTCATTAATTTGCTGATACGTGATAAAATTAAATATAGAAATTTATAGAATTTAAAATTTATTTTTAAATATATTTATACAAACTCTAAAATTTTTCGAATGAAATTTTATACAAATTGCGCATATCTCTAATATACTTATATATAATTGATCTAAACTTTAAAAAAAATCGATTTATAAATATTGTTATAGGTTTTTTTGGGATTTTTGTATTGCTTTAGTTATGTATATTATTATATATTTTTCACTGTACTGCAGGATCTTTTTTATGGAAATTTTTTTTGTATAGCTTATTAGCTTTGTTGATTTCTATGTATTGTTTTTTTTTTATAATAATAAGTGACACCCTGTAATAGACTATAATTTCTTCAACATAACAAATAGCGGTTTTTATTTATATTTTATAATGCTTTTGCAGCATTGAAGGTTTTCCCTTTATGTTTTGTCCCCTCTTTTTGCCTATCCTTTAATTCATTTCATTGCCCTTTCCATTTTTCAATGTTACACCAATTTATTTGCCCATTAATTTATTAAATGGCATAAAACATATACACACACACACACACATCTATCGTTTATCTATTTTTTTTTATCATATTATATATGTAAAATTGATGTTAATATTTATAAATTTAATATAATTTATTTGAGAATTTATAAATGATTGTTGGGATTTGAAATTACGTTCTCATGTTACTCCATTTGAGAGTTATGGCTACAGATATTATTTAGGTGGGAAGTTGGTGAACCATCGTATTAAAATGTTAGTTGAATTTGGGTCCGTATTGCTTGTGATGAATAGAATGATAAATTTAAGTGAAAAATGTATAAATATTATATAGATACATAAATTCGTTAAAATGTTATAAAAATAGATAAATCTGTATATATCTGTATATATACACACACACACACAATACATGCTTCTATATTTTTTGTTTATGTGATAATTTTGTTTTGACACGCTAATTCTTTAGAACTTATCGTTATGTCACAAATACAAATTTTCGGCGCAACATCCGTAACCAAAAATATTATGAGGTTAACACGGAAAATTTTGCTAATTGATGCATTTTGCTATTAAGTTACAAATTGATATATAGTTTTTTATAATAATTTAATTTTTCAATTTTTCCCAAATCAACATTTGTTTTGCAATTTTGGTGATGAGTACTATTATTTTTGTCAATGTACATACATAATTTTTTATTTCTTGATTTTATCTATATATAATAACTAGGGATGAAATTAGGTGGAGTGGATTAGATCCGTAAGTATTAAATAAGGGAAATTAGCTTACTAATAATTAATCACCGATTGAATAAACTTCATTATCATAGCGTTGATTTATAACCACCACAATGTTATAGAATAATTGAAAAATTGAATACAACAATTTTTAGAAACAAAATTAAAACTCATTATAAAATAATTTCGAAATGTCAATAACATCTAAAAAAAATTGAAGTAGGAGCTTAACCTAAACTCTATACGAAATATCGGTCGTATGCTAAATACATTTAAACTTTAACGTAAACATCAAAGATAATTATACTTAAGACCCATTATATTAAATTATAATGACGCATTATTCTTTGGAACACAGGATATAATCAAATCTTAACTGATTTTATTGAGATATATATTCAGATATCATTTTGGAGATTTTAGTCTAATAATAAATCAATAATTATTGGAACAATTAACGAGTAGAAATCTTTTTATTTATAAATATATTACCGGTCTACGAAATATCGTAATCGGATAGATATTTTGTTTTTTTTAATCACGAGGAATTAAAAGTCGCATCTGACCAATTAAAAAAGAGGAAAATCTTAAATCAAAGGTCAATTTCATTTTGGTATAATCCAAAGCTTTAAACAATGGGAGACAAATTGACCATTTTGCCCTTCATCCGAAGGTCAAAACTCCCCCCCACCGTCTCTCTCTCTCCCCTCTCCTCTCGCTCTTCTAAGCATGAACGTTGCGTTCATTCATAGCCCACCTTCTTCGATAATGTCCGGAGACAATAAAGTGCTGAAATTTTTTCTCTGAAAACTTTCCCGGAATCCAAACAATCTTTTAGCTTCTTCTTGTTCTTCTTTTTTCCTCGTTTTCTCGTTTTGTTCTCAGATATGAGAAGCAAATGGCGAAAAGCAAAGTTAGCATTAGGTCTCAATATGTGTCTCTACGTCCCCGAGACGGCCGACGATTCTAATTCTCCTTCCGTAAGATCTTCCAATGGCGCTTCTTCGACGGCGGTTAGGCCCACCACTCCGACACCGTCCTCTTCTGGACTCCGCTTGTCTAGGTCATCCAGTAAATCGCAATCTAAGGTCTGGTTTTTCCTCTTTTTATTTCTTTTTTTTTTGTTTTTCTGATCATGGGTTTGTTGCAATTATCCCTTTTGTTCGTCGTTCTGTTCGTGTTTGGTAGAAAGTTTGGATTTTTATTTCGTGTTCTTCATCTGTCTGCTGATTTCTTGTCTGTTCTGTTTCGTTTCCTGGGCTGATTTCTTGTTATTGCTTTGTTTTCTGTCGAAGTTGGTGGGTTTTTCGAACCTCTCGAGTTTCTGAAACGATAATTTTCATGTTCTAATTTCGGTTTCAAAATGCGGTTGGATCACAGGAGCTTTGAATCTGCAAATCCAAGGACTAATCTTTCTTGGAACTGCCAATTCTATGTATTATATAAAATTTGATTCCGTTTTTAAATCTGTGAAAATAAGCCTCTTTTCAAGGATTCATTGAATCTAAATGCTTCGTAGAAGTAAGGTTTGATTTGGTTGTCACGCACATGGAATGATAGTAATGGTAGTTTCATGGTATAAACTTGGTGGGTTTCCGAGTCATTGTTCTCTTGTAGCCGCTGAATTCATGATTAGCTTTTACAGATTTTATGACTATCCATCCATAGCTCGGAACAGAATTATTTTATTGAAAGTTAAAGGTTTGAACTTTTAAATTAATTGGCTCTCAACGTATGCACACGCAATATTTGAATAGGCACATGGTTTATGCCCATCCCACTTGTGAAGTGATGGAGATCCTCAGACGGCTATACTTGTAAGGTCTTGTCTTTTGGGCCATCATTAATCTTGAATTTAACAGCTGACTTTCTCTTGCTTTTGCTCTTGATTAAGTATCTTAATCACTCTTATCCAAGAAAAACCCACTTGTCCTAATCTGACCATGGTTTTGATTAGGACCCTTTGCTGTTTTTTTATATGGCTGTCTTTTTTTTTTTTTTTTGGCTTATAGTGTCTGATAATGCGGTTTCTGCATATGGTGGAGGCGGGGCAAGTGAAAGTGATTATAATTCCCTCTTGCTTTCTCTGTCTTTCCTCTTGTTCACAGTGGTTTTTTCTTCTTCTCGTTTTCTGGGTTTCTGTAGCTGAAAGCTGTGTTGTTTGTTTTGTGATTTTCAAACTCTCTAAAAACGGAGCCTTTGTGGTGGGCTCATCTCATGTTTTGGTGCAGTCAAGTCAAGGACCAGTCTTTTTTCTTTCTTTCTTTTTCACCCCAACTTTTTCAATTATTGCTGAAAGAAACCCACCTTAGTTCTCTCCATATTTGTTAGACTCTTTCTCTATCTGGATCTTGTTTAGTTTCAGTTTCAAATGCTGACTCTCAGCATTTAGCCTCTTAAGCTCAAGAGAGAGGAGAATTTCTGAAATCATGAGACAGGGGAGAATGGATATTTTCTTCTTCTTTTTTTGTCTAATGCCCATCCTAGTTATCAAATCTAACTGCAATATAATCTTGAACGCCTTTTTTAACTGAGAAATCACATGATTTGCCTGTTATATGGGTTTTTATTCCAATAAAAAAGAAAGGTAAAATCTTTTTGAGAACCCATTAATCTTCTGAGGTGTGTTAGCTCTTTTCTTTGTCTTCTAAACTTTAACTTTGCTTTGATTGCCGATTTTTGTAATCTTTATTGAGTTGAATTTGTCCATAAGCTTTGATTGCCGATTTGGTTGTTCTGTACTTTATCTTTTCAAAGGTGCGTCTTTTTTTTTTCTCTCTCTTTTGTATATTGTTCTTTTCATGCCTTGACCTTGTAGATTCATCGTTTCTTTGGGAAAAATTGCAAAGAAAATGAAAAAAAAAATGGAAAGAACTTAACTTTGGAATCATACTGCATTGCTTGAAGAGCTTCCAGCAAGAACTCAATGTTCCAAAGGGCGATATTTTCAAAGTTATTGCTTTTTTTTCTGTGTTTTGTTTTTTACGTTTTTTTTTTCGGTGAAACCCATTTGTCATTTTCATTTCTGGTATAGAAAGATTCCATCTTTTTTTTCTGCATAAGGACGGAGTTTGTGTCAGTATCTGACACAAGTGACTGTGTCGGGTGTCCTTGGATTCTGACCTTAACTCTCTAGTTACAGTACCATTACCATCTTCTTTAACAGTTCAATTCTTGTTCAAACTTGGACTATCTACCAAAACAGAGCAAAGTCAGTGCTTGGATTTCATGCTTAGAATGCTTATTTCTGGTGAATCTTGAGCTTGTTTTGGCTAATGAGTGAAACCGGATTCTTAGTGAATTGTTTTCGATGGATTTTGCAGAAGACGTGTGCGATATGCTTGATGGCGATGAAGCCGGGCCAAGGCCATGCCATTTTCACGGCGGAATGCTCTCATGCGTTTCATTTCCATTGCATTGCAGCCAATGTTAAACATGGGAACCAGATCTGTCCCGTGTGCCGGGCGAAATGGAAAGAGATCCCTCTTCAGAGCCCTAACCCTATCTCTAAGTCGAACCCGTTGGCTGGTGGTCGGTCCAGAGATGATGCCCGGATGGCGACCCCTCGCAGGGTCCAGCCTCAGTCTTCTACTCGGCTGGACGGATCTAGACCGGACTCTTCACTCTTCCATGGTCCCGAGCCCGCGATTTTCAACGATGACGAAGTTCTTGAACATCATCACAGATCGATTATGGAGCAGCAGCACAGTGTTTCTGGAAGCATGGAGGTAAGAGTTTATCCGGAAATCTCGGAAGTGGCAAAGTCTGTTTCGTGTAAAGATTTCGCCGTTCTGATCAATCTAAAGGCTCCTCCTTCTGCTGCAAAGTCGTCCTCATCGTCTTCTCGTGCTCCAGTTGATCTTGTCACGGTTCTTGATGTGAGCGGAAGCATGGCCGGGACAAAGCTGGCACTGCTGAAACGAGCCATGGGGTTTGTGATCCAAAACCTCGGCCCCTTTGACCGCCTCTCGGTCATAGCCTTCTCCTCTTCAGCACGTCGAATCTTTCCTCTTCGGCTCATGACCGAGACAGGAAAACAAGAAGCCTTGCAGGCAGTTAACTCGTTGGTCTCCAATGGAGGAACCAACATAGCCGAGGGTCTGAAGAAAGGGGCGAGAGCCTTGATCGATCGCAAGTACAGGAACTCAGTTTCCAGCATCATGCTCTTGTCTGATGGTCAGGACACATACGCTGTTACTAGTCCCAATGGTTCTTGCCCTAGAGGGATGGATTACAAAGCTCTCCTCCCCATCGAGATCGGGAACCGAAAAAACAACGGGAACTGGTTCCCGGTTCATGCTTTCGGGTTTGGTGCAGATCACGATGCTTCCAATATGCACTCGATATCAGAAAACTCTGGAGGTACATTTTCCTTCATAGAAACCGAAACCGTCATACAGGACGCGTTTGCTCAGTGCATTGGAGGACTTCTGAGCGTCGT